GCTAGGGGTTTGTTGCTTGGCAGCAAATGTTGTGCCTCGAATTTTCCTAGACAGCTGCTTCTCAGAGCCAGATATGCAAGACTGCTACTGCAAACTGAACATTTAAGCATTTTTGTCTTACTGTGAAAATCTGAATTACAGTTAATATGAAGCATGTGCTAAATATCTGTACTATTTCTCAGCATGCTAAATACTGTCTTTAGGGTACCAGACATTTGCTGCTTACCTTAATTTCCAATATATATCAAGTTAAACTAAACTGCACTTTGTATGCTGCATGAATGTGACACACTGAGGTGTGTTAGACACATAGTTCACTTCAAGAGGCTGTCTTGTCCTGAAAAAAGTAAAAATAGTATGTACTGTATTACACAATTTTTGCATTTCCTCCAAACTAACATACCTTGTTTTTTTCTGGTAGACATACCTGTGCCTGAAATTAACCCATGATAAGTGATGCAGTTGAAGATTCAGTCATGCCAGACATTATTTAGAGGGTGGACTTGTCTGAATTCCCTAAGCTCTTGTTAGCTTGACTTGGAGACTGTTAGTACATTCTACAGTAGAACAAAGACAAAATCTGATAGACTTTGTCTGATAGAAGAGAAAAAAAATCTCTTATCCTAATTTAACTTCTCATTTATTTAAAAAGATTTTTAAAAAATTAATCAAAAAACCCAAATATCCTCAATATCCAATCTGCAAGTGATTGAATGAAAAAATGATGAGCAATATGTCAATTTCTCCACATGTTAACACATGGCTTTACCTCTGAGTAATAAATACTCTGAGGAGTGCATTATTATCTTCTGAGAGATATTCAGCTTCTGTGAGCACAATGTTACACCACATTTATGTTTCTCAGGAATCCACAATAGAACTAATGGAGACACAATAGGTCTTGTAATATTTTCCAACTGTAGAAACACATCCAAATAGTAAAAAATACAACTGAAATGTAAGTCACCTCTGGTTATATAGATCTGATCTTGTTTCTCTGATGTAGTATTTTAACAGTAGTGTGACTAAACTCAGTGAGTTGTACTGTAAATGTAAATTTGGTGTGACATTAGCTTCAGGCATAAGTCTACATCGAGTGCTGATAATTATTTTAGAGCTTTCAGTACTCCAAGACTAGAAAAAGAAAAATGTAGAAAGGATTTACATGAAATGCACGGACTTAAAACTTGGGTATGAGTTGCCAAATGCTGCATTATTCGGGTAATTGCTGCATGTATGAGTGGGTAGGATAGCCACAGTCCAGTCAAGGGCTGACATAATTTAAGCAAGATGTAGACAGTTGTTAATAGTGAATGCTAAGACTGCTGACTGCTCTCGAGTGTTCACATCTGTCTGGGCACTAATGCCTGTGCTTGACAACCTCAAGTCACAAATTAATTACTAGGCTGCTTAAAGAGCTGTCATCAAAACTATTGGCAAAAGAGCAGGTTTTTATATAGATTTGAGAAAGTGCAATTTTAAAAGAGCTCAGTGGCAAGTTTCACTGTATCACTTATGGATAAATCATACATAAGGAGGTCAGACTAGAATCCTTGTAGAGTGATTAATGCAGAGACTCTAAGAGGGTTAAGGTACAAATGATGTGGATACAAGAAGTTAAGGGTTCAAAAGGGTATAGTAGCACTTAATCATTGACTAATTTAACTAATTTAAATACACTTATTCAAATAGATATGCTACAATAATACAGTGACTTAATTATGAATTCAAGATAAGAACATTCATGCCATAGCCAGCTCTTACACAGGAGAAGAGTTGTATACATCTACATCTGTGTGTTTAAAGGAACCTATCAAAAATTCCCCTCAAGTTCAGTCAAATGCTCACATCAAATCCCCTAGCATCTCGTAGTGGGCCCTGCTGCACCTTGAGGGGTATGTGTGTGCTGGGACAGAACCAGCTGAGGCCTCATAATCAATGACAGTCTTTCAAGTATTGCCCACTGGAGAGCTGGCAGGCTCCAAGAGCCATCCCAGTGGGATGGGGCTACTTGCACAGGTGCTGTGCCTCAGGGGAGCTCAGAGATCTGCTCCCAGAGGGGAGTTTGGACTGATGGTCATGGGGTTGTGAGACAATTTGCTTTAGTTATCGGTCATTTTCCATGCTGGCCAAAACACAAGCTGGTAGCTACTGGACTTTTCCCCACAATGTCCAGTAATGATGGTAGCATTCCAACTGGCCTACAATACATTTTTTCAGAATATCTCCTAACACCGATAGCATTTTACTTGGGTGACAATTAAGCAGGAGTGTTGGAGAACTAACTTTGCTAAAGCTACTGCTTACTGCTTTAGGAAGTTCCTGCTAGCACAGCATGCTAAAACACAAAATAGTAACAGAATAGAATACCTTTTGATCCAATAATTATTAAAAATTGAAGGTTTCATACCATCTTTATTGTAAAAAGAAAGCTTAGATTTGTTATCTGTTATTTGTTACAGCCTCAGCATTTGTAAAACAAACAGTGGAGAACGTATACTTCAGATACTGATTCTTTTTCATGCTCTCTGAAGTCTCAGAGAGGTGCATACTCATACAGACTTTCAGAGCTCCTGCAGTCTTTGCAGAACAACACTTTTTCTAGTAAAATGTAAAATTCAATGCTCATGTGGTTGCTGATGAATCAATATATCTGTGGGATATTTGTTACCATGAAGTAAGATACCTGTTGAAGGCATTTTCTTGTTACAATGGAGAGTTTTGATAGTAGATTTCCAGATAAACTTTTAATACTGTTAGAATATTTATTGTCTTTTAAAAGCAAAATTTATTTCTGAAGTTATTTGCCCAAGAAGCCTGTGATAACTATCATGCAGAAAATATTAATAGCCTGACTTTTCATATGTCACCTCAAAACAAATGTTGATTGAGTAATTTGAAGATAATTACAGAAGTTAAAAAATAATATTTTGATGTGAATGAGAGGAATGAAAAATTCCATATTATTCAGTGGAATTCAATCTTTAATGAAAGACTGCTACATGTGTGTAATACAAGTGTGCAGTAGATTAAAATTTTAATCTGGTGTAGCTTCATTCACAACAGCCAGTGACTTGAATGTAGTTCTTCATTATTTACATGGTGTGATATAAGTATTTCCCTTTTTCCCTACATTAGTATTATAACAGAAGTGTACATTTTCACTTCTTTTTTTTCCTCTTCTTTTGGTGTTGGATGTTACTTTGTGTAAATTGATATTTGGAAATTGCATCTGCATATATATACATAGGTTTTTGAAAAGCTTTTAGTTCTTCAGGCAGTTGATTTTAATTTTTCTGCATTCATTCCCATTACTGTGTCAGTTTGGAAAATGAAAGACTAATCTAATACTCTTTTAGAGAGCAGACTGGCAAAATGTACAAGTGGGGGCTGTACCTCCTCCTCATATCCTCAATCCATTTTCATCCTTCCTGAGAGCAAGAGAAGTCAAATACTTGATGCCTAATCCTATGGAAATCTACTTTTCAAAGTCTCACAACAGCCACAAAACTCCATTTCTGGCAGCTTTTTCTGCAAGGGTATCCATGGTAAAAGCAGACTGTTACAGCTTCACTTAGCCAAAGAAGAGTTATACCCTGGTGTGGTCTAGTGAGACAGGACTGTCTGCATTAGCTTTGTGTAAACATGTAGTGCAATGTGTGTGGAACAGGTTTAGTATCTGCTCTCTTCAGAGCTTTGCCTATTTGTTCTGGGATTTCAGCCAAATGGTCATCACTTTTCCCTTTCCTCCTGCGTTTTCATAGATGCAATTTTTCAGGTGGCATAAAATATTCATCTGGATTTATGAATGAATGCAAAGGTCTTTTAGATAAAGGGGGTGAAAAAAGTGATTGTAAGTTGCATTTAAGTAAAACCTTACAAAGGGAAGGCCTTGTGAAATCATGGCTCAGGCCTTCTACTTTACTAGGCAAAAAAGGACTATAAAAAAAGTGACTCAGCTGAATTAGAGGTAGAAAAACAAGTTATATAACCATTACATGTTCACATAGTGGTGTGCTGTGGTAGGTTGAATTATGTTTGTTATGATTTGAAAGTATGTAACTGATAAAGGCCTAACTGCTTTAAAAGGCCTGCTTTTTACAATAAAGCAGCTCTCCTTTGCACCTGCCTGAGGACTCTGTGTTACTACAGACCCTAGCTCACCTCACAATTGTACACTGTACAAAACCCATTTCAGAAAGATTAGTTAATTAACAACTTTGTAAATCTGATCTTTCTCATTTACCTATGTGTGCACACAGGTGCAATACAGAAGGTTCTACCAGTTGAAACTGGCAAAAACATTGACCAACTATTTTGTTTTCTCTGTGTAGGTGTTTGGAATCAGAGACTGGAACTGAGTTAATCTGTTCTCTCACTATTTCCTTTACTTTTTAGGAAATTATGATAGCAGAGAATGGAAAACACAATTGTCCTATACCTACACATGTATTCCTTCGCAGCTCTGTTGGCTAGGTTTTAAGCCTACTAGCTTAAAGGGTTCTACTGTCTGGAGTCTCCATGACAGGAACTGTTTAAAGGAAACCAGAATTTTCTTTCCCTCACTTTTGATTTTAAGGCTACAATTCACACTCTTCTTTTGCTTTGTTGAACAGCTAGTCTTAGATGCAGGTTAAAATAGAGCACCTCTTGGCATACTGCAACAGCTTCTCCTGAAAGTTTTTGAGTGAGATGTATTTGTAGGTAAGTAAATTGTCTGGCCCATGTGGACCTGGACATATACAAATGCAAAAAGAATATTCCCAACTATCTATGACATGTTTCCTTATGATTATTGTGGCTATATCTGTTCACTAATGCCATACGTTAAATTCCATGGATGTCCAAAATTTCTTAGTAATTGCAAAGATACAGGTGCTCATGTATCTGGGGCACATATATCAGGCTGCTCTGTTGCAGAACACATTTCAAAAGCTAATTTTTGTATCTCTTTTATATAGGACATATCCTGCTCCAAGGAGAAAAAAAAATTGGGGAAAAAAAAAAAAAGCAAAACCCAAGATAAAAATCTTTTATTGGTAAGTAATGAGATGATGTTAAAATTTTTGAAGTTCGTTTTCTGCAAAAAAAAAAAAGGTGCCAAAAATTTCCTTGGGAAAAAAAAATCATCTAAGAAAACCTTGGTGCAATGTTCAGTCCTCCACTGGCTGAACTTGTAAGTAAATTTGCATTTGTGTTCAGTCTAAGACAAGGTGCAGTAGGGCTCCCTTTGCCATCCTCCCTACTCAGATCCCAAGCCCAGGCAGTGTCCAGCACCCTGTAGCCACGCTGTCCCTCCCCTCGCTGTCCTGGGGATGTCCAGGGTGGTTAGGACTCATCAGGTCACACCTCAGCCTGTCAGAACTTGGCGGCGCGTCCTTTGCCCTGCCGCAGCCCGCTGCTTCATTTCATCTGCACACAGCCTGGCCTCCTTACATGCAAATAACCACAGACTGCCAAAATGAGCTGGCTATTTTCTTCCTGCTTACCTGTCACATCCCCATGGCTTTTGCTGAACTATTCAGGTTTCTTATTAACCCCAGTCTGAGAAGCAGTAAAGAAGGGAGCACTCCGCGCACTTGTGCACGTGTGTGTGCAGGCACACGCGGGCATAGGACCCAGCAAGAGCTTCTGGTTCTGGGATGACAGCGGTGCCTCTCCCTTGCCTCTCCCAGCTCTCTTTTTTCCCCCTTTCCTCTCCCCAAAGCACACTGCCTGCTAAAACTTCTCCTCACACAGCTCCATGCTGCTTTCTGCCTCTCTCTTTCCCAGCGTTTCCCTAATTCTGTTAATGTGAAAGTTTAACTGATTCTGTATCTTCCACTCCCTTGGTCTGCCAACCTATTTTCTTCATGACGCTTCTTTCTTTCAATCCAGTGACTTCCCACACCAGCCTGCCCCTCGTCCCCGTCATGATCTGGTTTCCCCTTCTACCTCTCTTTGCTTTCTGCCCCCCTTTTCTCCTGCCCAACCTGAATCAATGGAGCTGAGACATCTGTGGAAGAGGTGAGGTCTCACTCCAGGCAGTCCTACAGCCTCAGCTGCAATCACAGCAAACACACTCTTGCTGTCCAATCTGCCTCCTGCAGGCTCCCATCTTCATCTTGGCTCCTAGAGAAAGGAGACCTCAGACACAGAAATGTGGGAGCTTTGGCCAGAGTCTTCTTCTGTGACTGGGACAAATAAGTACCCTTCTAAACATGACATTTCACATTGTATGTGCACATCTGAAAATAGACTTTTACTTGCTTTATCTTGAAACTGGTTTAATTAAGGGCTGTGCTATCAAGCCGAGAACTTACTGGTAGCAGGAGAGTGAGAGCGGAACCAGAACAGTAGTGGGTGCTGAAGTAGTTTTGAAGAAGAAACAATAATCTAACATTAGTTCAATATTGTATTGCTTATGTTTCCCTGGTGTTTTTGCAAGACATCTTTGACTCTTGTTAGAAATGAAAGACAAATCTGTTCTCAGGCGATTCTTCTCCCCTACTTTGCAGCCTTAATGGTATTTGCATCTCCTCCCCCTTCTTCTTTTTTCTTTTCCTTTCTCCATCCCCTTTAAGTTGTAATTCAATCTCTTCCAACACATGATCTCTTTTCTTTTTTTGGCACTCCCTCCACCCGTTCTCTCATTAGTTTGAGTTAATTAGGAATAGTAGGCAGCCCTCAATCTGTTATGTGTTAAAACAGAACAATCCAAAACAGAGGCACAGACACAACTACGTGATTTCATTGTCTAAGGGAGACAGAAAACCAGTGGGGATTCTCTTATCTAGACTAACATCTTCCCAATGGTTAACCTAACTGGCTTTAAAATGTTCCGCAAATGCAGATCTGGACTAACAATCTTTCCCTGTTTCCTTTTCTTTTTTTTTTTCTTTCTTTTTTTTTTTCATTTCATCATTGGCAAGAATGAGTGAATTGGATTGACATGGAGGTGATAGAGGAAGAGAAATAGTCTACATGTCAAAATGACAATTTATATTACATGGTTAACAGAATGAGTGGTACGTGCAGTGGCTGCGGGTATTTTCATCTGCTGTGTTGTACAATAAGGTCCTTTTTTCCCCCCGAAGTGTATCATCAAGATAACTCCCAATTCAATGCAGACTGTTTGCTTGAAGGATCTCTTTCTAACAGTAATATCATTTGATAAATGTTGAACTGAAACAAGAATCTAAGTATTTGCTTGTTTCTATTAGTGAATTGTGTATATATAGAGGTCATGCCTGGTACTTTTTCTGTAGTGCTGATTACAGACGTTAGGGCAGAGTGTGCTGTGGAAGTGAATAATAACACGTCTGAGAAATCAAGTCCTGATTCTGAAGGTAAGGCCTTACATTTTTTGACTGACTTCATACCATGCTCTTTGGATGAAATGCATGCTTAGGGAAGGTATAGCTGTGCAACTAATACAAAAAATACATGCCTGCATTGAACATAAATGTGAGTGCTTCTGAATTTTTATGAGTCTACTCATATATGTATATGTAAATGCATAAATATGTAAAGTTTGAATCTTCAGAGGTTGTTGCATAAGATTCAGGAGCTATAGACAACCACTTTTACGGTAATTGTTACATTAAATTGCTAATACAGTATGTATGTGTCTGCATTCATAAGAAGTTGTGTGACAGTAATTTGTGTCAATAATTTATCCATTAATTAGCAATGCTAATGCAATAAATCTTTAAAGTTAAACAACTTTCAATGGTCTTTTTTTGAAATCTGATATCCAGAATATAAAACCTATTGGAAAAAAGGAAACAGACACATTGAAAATCCTGCCATCAAAATGTCATTACACATATTAAGAAAAAATAACTTCCTTTCTGCCCAAAACATCTCTTTATGACAGACAAGACATCAGACTAATGAGACACAAAAGGAATGCTTAATGAATGACAAAGTATAAGCTTGATTATCAGAACATACCAGAGTGTTACAGCACTGGAGAAGATAATATCCCGTCAAAAAGACGTCCTCTGAGGCTTTACTGGGAGGTAGGGGGGCAAGAAATTTCTAGCTGGACATAGACAACATGGGAGCAAACATCTCCATATGGAGATGTTGCAAGAATTTTAGGAGATTTTTGCAATTTATTCTTAATATACCATTTGTTTATTTACTTCCCCAGCTATTGGTACAGTTATGTGCAAACTGCATTAAATCCAGCAAGGAGACAGTTTTGGCCCTTACATTGTTCTTCTGTTTGATCTTTTCTTTCCATAGCAATGCAAAAATGTACTGATTGTGTGGGTCTACTTTACACCACAGATGAAAAATTGTTCTTTTTTCACCCAAGGAAATAAAAGAATTTACATTAACACCTCTTCAGTATTGGCAATTAAGACTGTTTAATTTATACAATCTTTCTCTTTCTGTAGGTGTTTTAGATTAAAGTGTAAGAGTGGCATAAGAAAAAGGTATAAATATGTACTTTAACAAAAACTCAGGACTTGAAAAATCTCTATACTAGATGACATTAATAATTTTATGCAGTGATGACATTATTAATTTTATGAACTTTTGACATCTGAGACTATATAAATTCCAGTGGTACAAAAAAGTCATAAAACTTGTATGAACTCATATAAATCCATTTATTAGTCAGAAAGAAAAATATTAGGGCGGAATAGTAAAACTGAGTTAATCTAAAGTCTATCAAAAAGATGTCTAGAAAGTTAAAATTTTTAAAAGTGAGGAAATCATTTCCACTTTATCACATGTATAGTAAACAAACTGGTGATTCTTCAAGAGGAAATATATTTATCCCTTCACATGCTTATATCAGAACCATGGTTTCTATCATTATCTTGTAGCTTTCCTCATGTAAAACCAATAGGCCTGCCCCTGAAATTGTTCCATGCCTAAAACAGCATGATTTTCTGCGCAATGCACACAATCCCCCCATCTTCCATTAACTGGCATGGCAAGAGTAGGAGCAAGATAGTGCTGTGGGGTAAGAAGTTAGCATTTTAGTGTGTCATGAACCAGGGAAAGCATTTGTCACTAGCTGAGGGGAATGACTAGAAGATTGTTATGTAACACAAAGCAGAACCCACAGTCCCAAGTGCTACCAATTCACTGCTGTCTCTGAAGCTCAGCTCAGACATAGTTTTGACAGCAAGCTCAGTTTGAGCCACTCTCAGTATGACACTTTGTGAAAGCTTCAGAATGCAGGGTAAAATAAACAGCTGCAGAACCAAGAGAAAAGTAACTTCTGAAATGCACAGGTAATGCAAAGGCATCTGTGTCCTGTAGGTGTTAGTGGCACATACATACAATTCATACGTGTGTATGTCTAGCCAGAGATATTACAAAAGCATAAAGCATATTGTTTTATAAGTTATTCTTTGAGAGACGCTGCTCCTAGTGGATTGGTGACTTTGGTACTAAAAACTGCTCTAAATCAGCTTGTCATGATAATAGTTTATCTTGTGCTGCTAATGCTTGCATTGCAATTGATTTAGACTTACTCTTGAGACATATAGAGGTAAATCACAGTGATAAATATATATGTAGGATGAACCAGTGGTATTTTGACACTAGAAATGAGCATCTTTTTGGATTTGATATAGTGCTTAAATTCACTTCAGAACGAAAACTCAGACTAAGTATAATTAAATATTCATTGCTTATATTTTCAGACAAATTGCTAAAAATTACATAAAGGCAGATATTCCTAGCTAAACAAAAAAACCCAGAAAAACAGAAAACAGGTAATAAAAGAGTAAAGGCAACAAAGCTTATAATGTTTGAGCTGCAGCAACAGAATTTCTGAAGTCAAAGGATTTGTTTAGCCTATATAAAAAACTACTAACAATGATCAACCTGAATGGTCTTGTAGACAGGTACATGCAGAGTATTAATTGGATTGCTAATTTCCTCAGAAGCCAGAGGTTCATTAGGAAATTATGATGATTGGTTAACCTTAAACTGTTAATAGGAATGCTGGAAAAATATTTAGTGATGGTGAGTACAGATTGCTTTATACAGAAATTTTTGCATCTTCATATAGCAGCATAAAAATCTATACAAAAAATTTTTCAGCTTTTAGCCCGAGAGTTTTGAATCCATTTCCACTTTTATCATGTAAACAAATAACTGAAATTGTTAGGACAAAGAAGGCATATTCTTACTGTAATGGAGTTACTACCCAAATATCCTTTCAGTTTTTGCTGACCATCCCTTTTTACAAACACTTCCTTTTTAAACCGCTGCATGGCATTACACAGACTGCAGGCTTCTGCAAATGCTCAACATCAAGCAAGAAATTTCTATCATTGATATTCATTCTGATTTTTCTATGTTAAATTTCCATTAGCATTAATATTTATTCCAAAATTAAAGAAAATTTAGTAGTAAATAAATTTTAGAACCCTGAGAAGTAATATCTTTTTAGATCAAAGAAAACAGTTTTTCTTATTTTGTGGTGAGGTCTGGGGAAAAATAAAAAATAACTCAGAGAACTTTTATTTGGAAGTATTTGTGAAGTTATGACATTTTTGCATGTTTGAAATTTTAAAACTTTTTCTGAAACAAATTGCCATGACTATTTTTAAGATATATTCTTTGTGATACAAAAGCCTTCGGAATATGTTGTCAGTGTATATTATTTAACTAATTTTATACTTCAGTTCATGATGAAATTAGGGACTGGGTAGGAAAAAACAGGATGGATTTGAAATGTCTTATTGAAACTTTAATCTTATTCACTCTTAGAGTTGTCACATGTATAGCATGACAAAATAGCTATTTCTTTACCCTCGTAAAAAGAGTTTGTGTATTTGATGTTTTCTTGCTTTTTAATGCTTTATTTGTACAACTCTAGCTACACTAAAACAAGATTTTATAGTCCAATAGAATAAAATATTCATATTACTTTGCTTTACTTGCTATGACAAAGAGAAGAAATGGGGGAAAAAATCATGACAAAAATATTGTCAAAGCAACTTTTGCACTTTGTCTTTCAGATCTTCTTAAACTGATTGTCCTTCCATCCAAAAACTTCTATGATTAAATAGTTGTGATTGTATTAAGTAAACTGAAAATGCAATTCCTCAAGTACTGAACTTTTCTGAACTGTGAGTACTAAAAGTATTGATCCATCCTGTGACAATTTAACAGTGTTCTTTGACTTTATATGAACTTCCATGACTTTTCTGGCTAGATAAACAGGCTCTCATTTAAAAATTTTTCTTCCTCTTCATTGCAAATTACAGCACTTGAATCGCATGTGATTTCTCCTTAGTGAGCAGCTATTCTGTAGGTTTTCTCAGAACACTTCTGAGTAGTGTTTTGAGAAAAACTACTGAGTAGAAATTTTCTTCTCTTTCACAGGGATATGACAGTATTATTTTCCATCATTAAGTGTCCTTGGCAATGGAGGACACTTTTAAAAGAAATGTATAGAGATATTTGAGCTTCTAAGAACTTACAATGTTGCAAAATATTAGACAGATGTTACACAGATACTGCATAATTATTGCACGTGCTTTTTTTTTTTTTAAATCTGATTTCTCACAAGAAATCAGCTAAGAGGATTTTGCTGAAAGAGTTGTTATTGATGAAAGAATAAAAAAAGAAAGTTAATCTTGTGAAAAATAGACAAGAAAGTATAAGGACAATATTCTCCAAACTGATGTTGCAGTTTCATCAGTGCAAAAGTGACCTGTGAGAGAAGAAGGAAATTGAACATATTCTAGTGTACCTAGCATGTAGCTGTCAGCTTTACCACTTAAACTTCTAGTGTACTGCAGTGGTTTAAAAGAAGACACAGGGAAAGCAGATTTATCAAGGAATGGTGAATAAAAAAGTGAGAAGTTTCATTGTTAGAAAAGAGATTGAGTGCCCTTGCATGCCCCCAACTACTGTGATTAACTGACTAGAGTACAGTGGAAGAAACTGTACTCAGGAAGAAAAGTTGTTCTGCCCAAAAAAAAAAAAAAAAAAAGGTTTCTGCACGGAAAAGTGGAACTGCAGTTCAAGCTCCAGCTTCCAGCAGCTGAAAAATTGGACAATTGCTTTGGGAACATTTCTCTTCAAAAGATGCATCACAGAGGTATGGATGTTTGTCCACTGCAAGGAAACATAAATTGTGTGCTTCTGCTCTCACTGAGGTGGCAAAAGGAGTATTTAGCCGTCGTTAAGCTAGAATGGGAAAATATTCAGAGTGCAAACTACAAAACCAAAGTTTTCTAATGAGGTTTTTCCTAATAAGTTTGCTTACATTTACTCAGGTTGTTTAATTAGATCAATACATACATTTCTCTCTTCTAATTCATCTCTTAGCCCACAGTAGCTAAATCTTCATCTCATCAGAACTTTATTTTGATTAGTGTTCAAGCAACGCTTTAGCTCGTATGCAGTTTGGCAATCTCTCCTTCGTCTGCTAATTCTCCCTTCAGTCTCTCCGTTTTATTACCTTCTGTAATATAAGTAAAAGTTTTCTTACTTGCCCATGCTAAATTAATACAAATTTTCAGAGGACATTTTGAGAAAACACCAGAATTTTACTTAGTTTTGAGATGAAATTTTAAATCTTTCTTGACAGTGATGAAAGGAGTAATAAAGGAGTAGTTTTATGTAAACCCTATGAAAACCAGTAGCAAAACAACTATGAATTCATGTTGGTTATGAAAGACTAAATACTCTCTTCCACTGCCTGCAAAACTTCTGTGTCAGTGGAGTCTGGCAAGATAAGGAAACAAGAAAGAGAAGTAATAGTGTTGCTTTTCAAGCCAGATTTATAACTTTATATGCTGCTGGTTTTTCATTGAAAATGGGTAAGAAACTAACAGTAACTCTGCTTTTGACCACTGTCTCCTGCCTTTGATTTATTTTTGCCTCTGCTTTTTCCAGCATGATGTGCTGATCATCAAAGTAAATTTCATCTTTTTGCTATAATTATTGCCCCAGAATACAAATATCATCCAGCAAATGTATAATTCAGAGATTTTTTTTCAGCATTTAGTATAATTACTGTGCATAAAACTTGCATTCTCACTACCAAACCAATATGCCAGAAAATATATATTTGGCAGGCTTCAGCAAGATGTTGAAAAATGCACTGAAATCTTATCAAAATACTTATTTATATCAGGAATAAAAAATCTTCATGTTCTCAGTCTTCATGGTTTTTCTTACACAAACTGAAAGAAACAAGGAAGTTTTTAATTATTCTACTGCCTTGTTATATGTGCAGTTAAATTAAAATACCTATAATTTTAACTTAATTTTTTTTAAAATTTATAAACCTCCTCAGGGATTTGCTTTAAAGGTCTGAACTTTTCTTGGGACAGTTTGGCAGAAGATGATGTTGCACAAAAATCATCTAAAAAAGAAGTTTACTTACATTCTTAATTACATAGATTATTAGGGTTTTGTTCACAGATGATCAGAGCATCACCCTAATGTAACAAAATATCAAATAACAGGAAAAGCACACCGAGGCTGTAGGTTTTCATGTGTTTATGGATAGACAAGCAGAACACATGCCACACTTCTTGGACAAGAAAAAAAAAAAACAACCAAATGTTACTCTTGTTTTCTTATCAATTCTGTAACAATAAGAAAATATTTGCAAGTATTTTTTTCCTCAGAATTACAATAAGTTAGTTAAGTACTGTAATATTTTCTTGGTCTACAATGTTCCCATTTCAAACATTCTTACTTATTTGAGAAAGATTTTTCCTTCTTTTTCTTATTTTCTTCTAAGAAGAGAAGTGAAATACATTTATTGAATCAGTCCCAAAACGTGAGTCTAGTTCTATCTGCAATAAAAAACAAATGTACACAGAGGTATCATATTCACAAACATACTTTTAATTTTAAATGAAAAGGGAATAATGTCACACACCACATACAGGAGTATGGTTTTCACTGTAAGTTTTGTTCCTTCCAAGAATTACTGTTGCTGGGTTTGCATTTGTAATTCTGCTGGCTAACACATTTCTGTAACAAAGCTAAAACATTAATTCCCAAAGTGTATGTTATTAACCTGATTTCCTGTACTATGTTGTTATCATCTATTTTCCATCCTGAAATGCATTCCAGGCATCTTACAGGAACTACCAATATGCTTCAAATTTCTCACAACTCATATTCTTTTTTAAAAGCAATTACTTAATTAGATGATTACCAGGGCTTAAAACTGCTCTGTCTGAAAATTCACAAAACAATGGGAAAGATCTTGACAGGATTCAGTGGATGCTAGACTGACCACATCTTCTTTTTAAAAATCCTAGTCTACTGCTTTAGCTGTTAATTCTCATTCAACAGTGGCGCTGGTGAGTAGCACACACACAGTAGTAAAATATTTCTACCAACAAAAGCATGAGAATTGGATTATAACCATTTGGATATTAGGAAGAATTTCTTCACAGAAAGGGTAACTGGGCATTGGAATGGGCTTCTCAGGGAAGTGGTGGAGCCACCATCCCTGTACATGTGCTACTCCGTGCCATGGTCTGGTTGACAAACTGGTGTAGGGTCACAGGTTGGGCTTGATTACCCCAAAGGTCTTTTCCAAATTAGCTGATTCTGTGATTCTGTAATCACAACAAAGTAGAGAAAAATGGGAAGCACAAGTAACAAGATAATGTAGCCAACTCACTACGCCTAAACTTGAAATTAAGACTTTAAGGACAGAACAGGGGATAATGTGAATCTTACTAATTACCTTAAAAAGAGAGTAGACTCTATCAGCTGGAAAACAGAGACTCTTTATACGTAATGCAAAAGTTTTATTCTATATTGGAATTTGAATTCTGAGTCCTGGTCCCCCAGACCAGAGATAAACAGATTTACACCCCGGTTAAAGTTCACTTTTCATTAGAAGCAGCAATCTCTGACAGCATCTACAGAAACCTCACTGACATTTGCAAACAAAGGCAATTGCTTCATGTTATTTGTTTGTTTGTTTAAGTTAAACTAAAAAGTTGGGAAACAGAGGAGCTGGAAATCCGTCAAAATCCTCCACTGACATTACAATACAAGGAAAGTACTTGAGTGTCACAGTCAATTTGGAAATGCTGTGTGATTAGTCACTGTGCCAAGATTTTTTATTCCTAATAAGTCATTTTCCTGCTGCAGATATGGTTCCTTCTTAGCAGTTCTAATTAGATTTCAAGTATTATAAAGGGAAATTTTGACCTCAAGATTATTTATCTGTTCCATGTTTTCTAGGCAGTTCTGTAGGAACTTCCTGGAAATAATAGTATAAATAATAAATAGCAAGTTAGAGTGAGGAGTGGGGTGACAGGATAACAAAAATAGATAATCCTGGACTTTGTATTAGTTTTACATCAGATCAGTTGCACCTTCAGTAGGCATTTTCTTAATGCCTTCTATTAATTTCAGTTTTCAAATCTTCTGTTCTAGCAGTTAACTACCATGATATATGAAAAAAATGCTCATCTTGAGTAAAAAGATTTGAATTTTTTGCACTGCAGAGAACTCAGGACATAATACATCCTATATCAAAGCATACAAAAGTCAGCCTTTCAAAAATACTGTATTTATGGTGATGTTGATAATTGATATAAGACAGTAACATGAAAATAATAAAAACTGATGTAAAGAAATTAAGGGATATTCATTCAGAGAATTGTTTCTAAATATCAAAGAAAGAGGTAGATGTTAAATATACCTCTGACTATTTTTAATTTTAGCTGTACAGCAACTTCTTTTATATTCTCTTCAAAACTTTAAAATTAGAAAGAAAGAGGGTTGTTTTCACTTGTGAGTCTTTCATAGCTGAAGAACACAATTACTACACAGAGGCTTAAAAAGCACACATAGCAATTATGTAAAATCAGTTGAGGCTGTCTAAAACTTGGCTTTGAAACAAAGGCTCATGGAGGAAATGTTGAAAATTACTTGGCATAAATTGTTGCTAACAATGTAGGTTAATAACTAGTGTTGGGTATGATTCTGATCTAACACTGAACATCTTTTCTTCGATTGATTTGCTTCAAATTATTCATTAAATTCACTGATAAGAGCTGTTATTGTGACCTGTGTCATAAATTCTTTCTCTTTATTTGTAATAAATCATTTGAGAGACCTTCAAACTATTGCATTA